TTCAGTTAAATGTAACTGAAATATCCAGAATGTTAATTAGCTAGCCATGAAAACCAAAAAAACAACAATTTTTATAAAAACGTGCAAATCATTTGGTACTGATGTTGGATTAATGCATGTACTCAGGAGTATTGGAGCAGTACAGATGAAAAATCTATTCAATTGTCGATTTTTGATGTAATTATTCCTCACTTTCCATTTATGCTTATATTGCATTGTCATGTTTTCATTTTTAGTTATATTTGCAATCTTTCATCGTATTTGCTCAAAGCTACTGATGAAAACATTAATGAAAATCAACAGTTTCTTTGTCAAAACTGTTATCAGATGCATAAACTATATTTATAGGAATTAAAAATTTTTAACAAAAATAATCAAAAGTCTGAATTGGAAACGATCGTTCATAACTTTTCTAGGATAATAGGAACTTCTATTAATCATCCAAAGCAACAATCACAGCTGAACTTCTTATGAGATTCAGAAGCGCATTCATCAATTTTCAGTTTAATGATAGAAAAATGGAAGTGTAAGAGGAAAAAATAAAATGCAGTATCAGACAGTATTTGAGCCTTTGATCTCTTAATCCAGCCAATATCTGTCATATTTAAAAAATTCTGTATTTCACATTGCTCTTCATTACATCATAGATACAAATTGCTTAGTTCAACTTCCTGCTTTGCATCACTTTCAGCTTTTCTCTCAAATCTCGACAACTGGTAGCATTGTGTTGAATAACTTGTGCTATCTCAAATAGCTTCAATATTCTCGACAGAATAGATTTCGAGCCAATTCATTTACATATTATCGCCTCTAAGGATTTCCATTAGCCGTTAAAAAATAGGATGCAATGAATTCGAAATTAAAAACTACGGAAATTCATTAATACGGGAAACTCGGAGTTTCAGTTCTGTAAAATTCCTCTGTTAGAGGTAATAAAGAACTTTTTACTATCCGTATACGGAAGGAATTCAAGCTTTTTGAAATCTAAAATTTACTTCATAGCATCTATATTTTTGCGATATTTTCAAACCACGTTAATTAATTACCATTAATTGCAAAAAAGTGTTATAGGAGATGGAAAAAAAAATTCGATGAGAAAAATTGCGAATGTCCTTATCGAGTTTCACGACCATGAAACATAAATTTCAAATGAGATTACGCTGAACCTTAAATCAGTTCCTTAAATTTTTTAACGTTTTTTCTTGGAATAGAATACACGTGAAGATGTGCTGAATCCATGACCATTATATAGGAAACCAATAAAAATTGCGATATTTTTCTAAACTCATCAAAGAATTCTTTGTCATTTATGTTCAGCATAATGAACGGCGAGCAACCAGTACGTATTATTTGCTGTTGTTTTTAATAGTATAAATTTGAAAGTTTTTATATCAAAGATATGTAAAGAAGTGATATGTTTATTTTATTTGACATAGTCATTTTATGATCTACTGACTTTTGCATAATAAGAACATAAGCAATAAACAATCGAAAACCAAAACTGTTCTCATCAAGGCAGAAAATTCAAAACATATGCTGGGAAATGTTCCATGTTAATTGCCATGTGTTTTACAACACTGATATTTTCTCACCAATGTTTAAATCATGTTAATTAATTATCAAACAGTACAGTGGAATGCTAATTGCGAAAGTAAATGTCTTAGTGGAGACTTTTCAGAATAGCAAAGTATGAGTGTACTATCTCAGGCGTACTGTGAAAATAAAAACGAAGGACGAATAGAACATAGGAATAAAATACGGTAAACTTTTTATTCATAAATGCAAAGTGCTTGCTTATGAGTAAACATTCAGTTGCACATTAACATTCTGCATGCACAAGCAAATACTTCACTAAACTTCCCTACAAAAATATGGTAAATTACTTGGTAATAACGATTTGTTGCAAAAACAAAAGAATCACTTTAGTTTTCAGGCACATTTATCTATCTGAAATAGAATGCATATGAAAATGTCCTACGATACATTGGCGAATGTGAAGTAGCAATGCAAAATGCAGTACTATGCATTAAAGAGTTCTTTGTCGTTTGTTTTGCACATATGAGCCAACAGTAATCAACTTCTGATGTTCTAATAATCCTTTTGATTTAAAAGTTTTTTTTTGATGCTCTGGATATAAGTAATAAAAAATTGAGAACATCAAAAACCGAAACTGATCTTATCACAGCGGAAAAACTACAAGTAGATTTTTTTATTTCAAATATATGCAACGATAAGTTCGTACCATGTAAGCTGTTTGAAATTTGAATTGATAAGTTTAATATGATATTTAATATATGCTTAATAATCAAATCACTTCAGTCAACTACAAATGATATGATAAAAATTGCTTTCGCTAATTGCAAAAATGAATGTCTTAAGAGAAGCTTTTTAGAAGAGTAATATACAGAAATCTTTATATCGGATGTACTGTTAAAATGAAGGATTGGAGGAGATTCATAACAGATCGGAAAACGCATAGTGAATGTTTTATTTTTGAATGCAAAGTGCCCGGTATGGGAAAGTATTCAATTTTACTAAATATGAAGAAATGTATCATCTAAAAAATGTGACAAATTCTTATATCGTTCACTAAATTGACGAGTGCAACATCCGAAATCACGGAGTAATAATACAAAATACTGCAATGAAGAAAAGCATATCATTCTCTCCACGAGGCCAAACTGCAGCAAACTTTTCTCTTCTTTTAACATAATGAAGCAATATCTAAGGATAATTCATTAAATAGTATGTAAGAATCAGAGACTATATGACATTCTTGGTGTTATCAGCAGAAGCTGGAGCCAATTTTACAATTCAATATAAAATACTGAACTGTTTGATCTGTTTTATCTTATTATCAATACTATTTCATACTTCATATAAATGGCACAAACTTCTTGCGCGTAAAGATTCGAAGTTGGCACTCCGTAATGTTTTTTATTAGGAAAACACTGACATGCTTAGTTTATGGGCATTGCCACTCTTGAAAACAGCTTATTGACATCATACGTCTTGTCTGATCATTTTATAATGGCGGTCAAATCAAAAATATGTTTTCTTCTTTTAAAAAAATGAAAAATGGATGCGTTATTGAATATAAAAAAAAAGCTTATCTTTTTTTCTCTTTATCCTTTGATAAAGAAATTCTGAAATTAATATTATTTGAATAATTGTTAATGGCTAGTATCAAAATTTTTAATATTAAAAAAAAATGTCATCAAACAACTATTCTACGAAATCTTTGCAAAATTCAAGAATTTAATAGGATCATCTCAGTATAGACAGCATAACACCATACAAAAAAATAAATAAATAAACAATAGCAAGTTATAAAAACAAATTAAACTGCAGAAAATTTAGCACAAGAAAAATTCTTCAAGCGAAGAAAAATCCAAGAAAAATCACTCATCTTGCAGATGTTGTATCATTTTCAGGCCCTTCAGTTGGATATGTCCCATTTTCCAATAAATACATTCCATTGCGCAAATAATTGCATTTTTTTAATAATTTAGTAATCAGATCTTTATATTGAAAATAAATTGCTAGATCGATCCCTTTGCCATTTACTAACAATGCGGTATTAAACATTTCTCCTCTTTCAAACATGCAAAAATGTGTATCACACGAAAATTAATTAACCAGTGAATTAATTAGTGAATTAATTTGAATAAATAAATTAGTGGATAAATGATTAAAATATTTACAAAACAAAAAATCAAAATATATACAAATTTTTATTAATTGCTACAAGTCAATATCCATACAGTTTCTTTCTTGCTTGTTTTCATTGTTCACAAAGCTTTGAATATTATTAATATGAACATTATAAATGTCCATTTTATGATATTTTATATCCAGAATTATGCGGTAATTATGAACTATTAAAATGATATTTAGTAAATACAAATTATTTTAACAATTCCTGGAAATATGAACTGGAAACAAAGATAAAGTTTTAGCTTTCTCATAAATATCATAAATTATCATGCAAAACCCGAAGGCATCCTGAATTGAAAACAATAAGGCACAGTAAACAATGATGGATTTCAATGAAATTTCAAAAAAAATTCAAATAGATTTAGCAATATCTCAAGAAAAATCGTATCTCAAAAATAGTTCTTGCCAGTTTTAGAATTACAGACTTATATTTTAAATTAACTTCGAGTAAATTTGAAGAATTAATCATCACAGGAATTGTTGTTTGCCATAAATATATCGCCATTATAACTAAGCTGCAGTTTTTATATTTTAACTACTGTTTTCGGATTCATACCTTCTAAACCTTATAAGATTAAAATCAAAGCCTTAATAAGTAAAAATACTCATTGTTGCAGTGTTTACTTTTAAAGTATCAAAATAAATAAATAGTAATATTATCCCTTTCACATTTAAGTACATATGTAAATTTAAGCTAAGTAATACAGTATTGCAATTAAATAGAATTTTCGCTTAAAATTCGTTAAGAATTTTGACTTTTTCTGAAAGCAACTTCTTATTTCAAATTGACAATTCATTCTAAGTTCAATGCTTCCGCATATGCAATATCAAAGTACTGATTACTTATACCACAATAACTTGAGAGAAGTCGGGATCAAGCAATCATTTAGTGCTGAATATAGATTTTTTTCTACAATTTTTTTTCCGAATTAAAAAACATAGGGTATTCTAACTCAACATATTTAATAAGATTTCAATGCGTCTGATTGTTTAATAAAATTCATTTTATTTATTTATTTGCTAAATTTAAATTACAACTGTTGATTTTAATTTTGATAGCTTAGTTTCACACTGCTGTTTTTCCATAATGTCGCAATACAAACACCTTTTTTTGTTAGTTTAATGAATCATAAAATATTATCACTAGCTTGTTTCTATTTATTTGCTTTATCATGCTTATGACCACAAAAAGTAATGTACATTATAGATAAATCATGAATTTTTAAGTAACTCGTAAACCACGTGGAAAGTTTGAAAACCATACACCAAACAGTTCTAAAATATTACAAAATATTGATAAATAATTTTAACAAAAAAAGCACATCCATGCTACTCGTAGCTTTTATGAGCTGTTTCACATCTAAATAAAAGTTATTGCAACTAAATATTCGAGATATATTTATAAAAGGAATATGATGACAAAGCCAAGTGTAGAAGAAGGAATCTTGAATACATATTAATTTCATCGACAAATCTCGGACATTGTGCAACACATTCCATTACTAGACACTTTTCTCCGGATAGCAGAACGCATGACTGTGAATTTGCATATTGCAAGCCAACAATACTTGGACATTTTTGTGGTACCTAAAGAAAACCATTCATTTCATCTACAATTGTTAGAAATATTTCAGTTCACAATTCGAAAGAAAAGCTATTTACCAAACAGGACGGAATCGGAGACATCAGGAATCCGTGGTCAAATTTCAAAGCATTTACATGAAGTGAAATGATAAAGAGAAAGTTCATAGAGTATTTCAAGTGTAACCGAAACAATTTTTTAGAACGGTCTGAGAATTTCTTATACTTGAATGGGAAACCAACCGTACAACAAATTCCTTGTAGACAAGCGACGGATTCTTTAGTGAACGGAAGACATTGTTGAGATTGGATGCAACCAATCACGGGAGCTCTTCCGCCATTACTACAAATTAGTGGAGCTTGATAGGGTAGTTTAATGGGATTTCCTGATTTGTGCAACATGCACCTCTGATACAATCAACCAGATCAGTTGTGTAGGGGCTACATTGTTGAGCACTCGAGCAACCCAAAGCCACAGCATGTCGATCGGCAGGACACTTGAAATCAGCCAAGTCATAGTGTGCCAAAGCAGTGGTCGTTACAAGATTGAATAGAAATTGCATTCTTTCACACTATTACTTCTAAAATGCTAGTACTTTTCTTTTTAAATATTGCAGCAGTAGTTAATTTATAATAAATCATATTCATTGTTGCAAAATATACTCAACTGATATTCCGAGATGCTTTTGTAGGATAATAAAGCAAGAAATTTTAGGAGTCTTAAATTTCTGCCTTTGTTGTTTCATAATATTGAAAGACAACATTGAAATTTTGCCGAATAATTTGAAATATTAGAACAAAGTTCAACCATTAATGCAAAGAAGGAAGTCTTGAATCAAAAAAAAAGTCTGAAATCTTCAATAACACTTGAATTTACAAAATATTTACGCTTTATTGTGGCATCATTTTAATGAATGAGAATGCTCACAGAGCGACAACATGAGGACAGTAAGAAAAACCAACAAAAGCTCAAGCAGAAAACAACACATTCGATTTGATTGCACAGATGGAAGAATGCATTTTGGATTGCCGTAAGGATTTTTAGTTCATAATATTTGTTAGAGCGATCAGTGTACCAATAATTTTTCGGATTGACCTCTTTGCTTTCGAATTTAACAATTTGATCCTCTGATAAGATGCCTATGTCAGATTAGAAAAGAGCGCTGCTCTAACATTTCTTAAGTTTAATTGTTGGCTATTGCATGATCAAATCAAAAGCGGTGTTTGTCTGTTTTTATAGCTTCAGTTTATTTATCGACTGAGCTTCTGATAATCTCCGTTGAATTATTCGGTTATTTTGCGCTGGTAATCTATTGTAATTTCAAATTCATCCATTACTTACTTCTGAGATGAAAGTTAGCTTTTAAAACAATCATATGACAATACTCTTCTCGATTTTCTTATCTTCTTCTTTTCTTGAATTTTCGGCGTTTAAATAATCTATTTTTCATTACTTCGTCCTAATTTAATAATTGAGGAACAACCAGATTATCAGATTCTTTATATAAGGTCAAATTATTCCTCGACGAGGAAGAAATTTCCCAAGCATTACTTCATACTAAATGAACGAACATTAATGATCCGTCATCGCGTTATATCAATTTCTATTAAACTAAATTTACATTAACACTTCAAATTCCAGTCCATTTCTCAAAATTAAATATTTGCTGACAATATCACAAAAAAGAATGTTCATTAATAGAAAATTTAGGTGAAATGAGCAGGAAAATAATTAGGAAGTCGATAAGCACAACATATACGCTGTACACATAATACCGGGAGTCCTTGTGCTAAGCATTCGCATGATTTTGAATTGTCACATCCTAGGCCAATTACTTCACCGCCATATGGACATTGTTGAGGTACCTATAAGTTTTGTGTAGAAATTATTATTCCATTTTTCTTTTTTGACAATAAAATACAAGAAAAGCTTAATTAAACTTTAATTACTTGAGTATTTGGTAGTAATCGATATAACTTGTTTTACTTCTTTCCTTATCTCAATTTTCTACTCCTCTTTTATCCTCTATTCAAACCATTCCCTTTTTTCATGCTCTCTTTTTATTTTAATTACTAAATTTATTCATTGATTTAATGATTTCATTCGGTAATTTATTTGATATTCTTACAGTGCAGCACAACTCCTTTTTTGTATGACAAGATTTTGGTTTCGGTTTTTTCTAAATACTTGTGATTTCTTAAAATTTTACACAAACTTACTTTTTTAATTTATATAAATATATAGCAATTAGGTATATAAATCTCCACGAAATACTCTATTTTTCTTCGATCATTTGTTCATTTCAAATAGGTTGATGTTACCAACAGGTTAATTAGCTAACGTATGAAACTGGCACCTTAACCAGCAGCTTAATTAACAGAAGAAGATCAATCATTGATTTCGTCTCAAAATTATCAAATACAACTATTTGATAATAGAAAACTTTCCATTATGAAATAAGAGTTATAGTTCAATAAAATGACGGCCCTCGAGTTCTGTTATTTTTTGGAAGATTCTTTTGGGAGAGTCTTTACCATTTTTATTCACTTTGCTATTAATTTTAATTTGTAACTTAAATTCTATTTCTTTTAAGTTGGATAAGCTTCAAATATTTGCTATCCTATTCCATTCATTTCACTCCTCCAACTATGAATAATTAGATGAATGCTTTTTTATAGAATAAAACAATTATTATACGTTTTGTTTTGAGAAATAATATTATCAACTTACATCATTCGAACTACCTCGGTTCATCTTTCATTATCAGCCAATAATAATAAATTTTCGATATTTTTGCAAAACAATATGGTATGATACGACATAATATCGTTTTACGATAGTTGTTTATTTAGATTTTAACTTTTAGTATGTGTTATTTTCTTCTGAATCTATTATTCCAAATACTTTTAAAAAAATTTCTGATTCTTAATGATTTATTTATTACATTTTTGATTGCAAAACTAGATTTTCAACAATACGCAAAAATTAGTAAAATTTGTTAATGATTTCATAACTCAAAATTTTAAAATGCTCTACTAAGGATTATTAATTTGTAAACAAGTATCGAGTATCAATAACCAAATATTAATTTAAACATTTTAAATCTACAACTATTCCATTTGAAATCACATTGTCACCATAATTAAACATTATCTCTTCTTATTTTTACTTTGAATATACGTTTCTAAGTTAATCTTCCACATTCACACATTTTCAGGAATATTTATAGATTGTAACAGGTTTTCCGGAATACAAACACGCAGAAGTACACGTACATTTTACGTACACTTATATACGTATATGCTGCTTTATTCTTTTCATTCATTTCACATAATCAATCCAACTCGTCCCTACCAGACATTTCCAGATATTCCGGAAAACCTGTTACAATCTATAAATATTTCTAAAAATGTTTCTACGGCAGCTGCACAAATGATAGTGTAGCGAAATCAAATGCGTAAATTTTGTTTACAAAACTCATTTTCATGTAAGCACAAACAAAAATATTTGTTATTATTGTTACATTTGTAACAAGAAGTTACTATTCAGTCATCAAAATTTATTTAAATTAATTTGATTACATGAAAAATACCGAAAAAAGAGAAAGAAAAAGTTTTTATTTCATTAAAATATATGAAATTAGAAAGGCTAAACATAAAAATACATTAATTAGCTAACTAGAAAATTTTCACTGAAAAAGTTTTTGAATATTTTTTAACAATGTTAAAAAAATTAAAGTGACTTGATTCTATTATTATTTATTTTTTATTATTAAATTTTTATTTTTTATTTTTATTTTTTATTATTAAAAATATTATTAAATTAAAGTGACTTCATTATTATTTATTTTTTCATTATCATTATCATTATTATTATTGTCATTATTATCATTATTGAATCATAATGAAAATTTATACCAGTATTTTTCTTCTTCCATTTATTAAAAAAATATCAAAAATGCATAAGTAAGTAGTAAGCATTGATAGTTTTTTATTTTTCGTTTTTTGAAGATTTAGCGTATCATTTCATTTACTTTTTTTTCTTCTTTGATCTTAAATTTAATTACTAATATTGATGCAATCTATTCCAATACATTTTCATTAATATTTTAACCTTTCCTTCTCTCTTCGTTCCTTTCCCTCTCGCCTAATCAATGTGGTTACAATAATAATCTTCAATTTTCTTATCACTAAAATAAATAATCCTTCTAAAACTATTTGTTCGGCTATTTCTAATTTCACTTATCATTTAACAAAGTATTACTACATTAGATTGTTCATTTTTCCAGTTTGTTTGTTTCAGTTATCATCTTTGTATTTTTCCTAATAGCACCAAATTTTTTTTTTTTTTTTGCTTTCAAAAATGGAATTTCAATTGAATTAAATTCTTATCAAACTTTCTGCTTTAACTTCTTTCATTCCTCAGGAAAATAGTATTTCTTTATTATTATTTTTGCTAGTAATCAAAATGTCTTAAAAAGATTTGTTTTATTCAAAAAGCATTGATCTGCAATTTGTATAAAATAAATTTCACTGCAGTTGGTGATTTCAGCCAGATTCTAGAAAATTATGAAATTTGTATGTTTTTAAGTACTTTTAAGTAAAGTGTTTAAATAGAAGAAGAAAAGTTTGAAAAATCAGACAGGATATAAATGGTAGGAAAATTTTAGCAATTTTTAACAGTGTTAATAAATTGGTAATAATTACGGTAGTGAATGTTTGCCAACTGCAAACTACTTGTTATTTGTATTTTTATCTCATTATATTGCATTATTTGTTATTGACAAGTATGCAGCACTTCACAAAATTTTGCAGATGACAATCATTGTATTAACTATATTTTGGTTATTATTACCTATTCTTGCTACTAGCATACAATGCATAAATGGTGGTGAATGGGTTGCACATGCATGCACTATGGATGCGCAATGTGAACCGTACAAAATAAAGCCAACGGACCATGTTGTGTGCCTTGACTCGGAATGCTGCACAGTACCATGTTCAAATAATGGTACCTTTACAGGAAAGACATGCGGAACATCATATGATTGCTTGCCGTCAGCGGAAAATGTTGCATGCCTTACGGGATTGTGCTGCACTGTAAGAATATCAAATAAATTACCGAATGAAATCATTAAATCAATGAATAAATTTAGTAATTAAAATAAAAAGAGAGCATGAAAAAAGGGAATGGTTTGAATAGAGGATAAAAGAGGAGTAGAAAATTGAGATAAGGAAAGAAGTAAAACAAGTTATATCGATTACTACCAAATACTCAAGTAATTAAAGTTTAATTAAGCTTTTCTTGTATTTTATTGTCAAAAAAGAAAAATGGAATAATAATTTCTACACAAAACTTATAGGTACCTCAACAATGTCCATATGGCGGTGAAGTAATTGGCCTAGGATGTGACAATTCAAAATCATGCGAATGCTTAGCACAAGGACTCCCGGTATTATGTGTACAGCGTATATGTTGTGCTTATCGACTTCCTAATTATTTTCCTGCTCATTTCACCTAAATTTTCTATTAATGAACATTCTTTTTTGTGATATTGTCAGCAAATATTTAATTTTGAGAAATGGACTGGAATTTGAAGTGTTAATGTAAATTTAGTTTAATAGAAATTGATATAACGCGATGACGGATCATTAATGTTCGTTCATTTAGTATGAAGTAATGCTTGGGAAATTTCTTCCTCGTCGAGGAATAATTTGACCTTATATAAAGAATCTGATAATCTGGTTGTTCCTCAATTATTAAATTAGGACGAAGTAATGAAAAATAGATTATTTAAACGCCGAAAATTCAAGAAAAGAAGAAGATAAGAAAATCGAGAAGAGTATTGTCATATGATTGTTTTAAAAGCTAACTTTCATCTCAGAAGTAAGTAATGGATGAATTTGAAATTACAATAGATTACCAGCGCAAAATAACCGAATAATTCAACGGAGATTATCAGAAGCTCAGTCGATAAATAAACTGAAGCTATAAAAACAGACAAACACCGCTTTTGATTTGATCATGCAATAGCCAACAATTAAACTTAAGAAATGTTAGAGCAGCGCTCTTTTCTAATCTGACATAGGCATCTTATCAGAGGATCAAATTGTTAAATTCGAAAGCAAAGAGGTCAATCCGAAAAATTATTGGTACACTGATCGCTCTAACAAATATTATGAACTAAAAATCCTTACGGCAATCCAAAATGCATTCTTCCATCTGTGCAATCAAATCGAATGTGTTGTTTTCTGCTTGAGCTTTTGTTGGTTTTTCTTACTGTCCTCATGTTGTCGCTCTGTGAGCATTCTCATTCATTAAAATGATGCCACAATAAAGCGTAAATATTTTGTAAATTCAAGTGTTATTGAAGATTTCAGACTTTTTTTTTGATTCAAGACTTCCTTCTTTGCATTAATGGTTGAACTTTGTTCTAATATTTCAAATTATTCGGCAAAATTTCAATGTTGTCTTTCAATATTATGAAACAACAAAGGCAGAAATTTAAGACTCCTAAAATTTCTTGCTTTATTATCCTACAAAAGCATCTCGGAATATCAGTTGAGTATATTTTGCAACAATGAATATGATTTATTATAAATTAACTACTGCTGCAATATTTAAAAAGAAAAGTACTAGCATTTTAGAAGTAATAGTGTGAAAGAATGCAATTTCTATTCAATCTTGTAACGACCACTGCTTTGGCACACTATGACTTGGCTGATTTCAAGTGTCCTGCCGATCGACATGCTGTGGCTTTGGGTTGCTCGAGTGCTCAACAATGTAGCCCCTACACAACTGATCTGGTTGATTGTATCAGAGGTGCATGTTGCACAAATCAGGAAATCCCATTAAACTACCCTATCAAGCTCCACTAATTTGTAGTAATGGCGGAAGAGCTCCCGTGATTGGTTGCATCCAATCTCAACAATGTCTTCCGTTCACTAAAGAATCCGTCGCTTGTCTACAAGGAATTTGTTGTACGGTTGGTTTCCCATTCAAGTATAAGAAATTCTCAGACCGTTCTAAAAAATTGTTTCGGTTACACTTGAAATACTCTATGAACTTTCTCTTTATCATTTCACTTCATGTAAATGCTTTGAAATTTGACCACGGATTCCTGATGTCTCCGATTCCGTCCTGTTTGGTAAATAGCTTTTCTTTCGAATTGTGAACTGAAATATTTCTAACAATTGTAGATGAAATGAATGGTTTTCTTTAGGTACCACAAAAATGTCCAAGTATTGTTGGCTTGCAATATGCAAATTCACAGTCATGCGTTCTGCTATCCGGAGAAAAGTGTCTAGTAATGGAATGTGTTGCACAATGTCCGAGATTTGTCGATGAAATTAATATGTATTCAAGATTCCTTCTTCTACACTTGGCTCTAGTACTATCTCAAATCTTATCAAATTTATTGATTATTTGTGTTTCATTATTTATAACTTACCGACAAACCTTTCCAATTGTAAATGTATCCTACTGCAAAGTCGAATGACATATACAAATCTAACATTCCCGTATTTCTCCATAATTTCAAACGTTTATTATAAATTTATTTAAACCATTGATTCTTACGATTTTAATTTCATTACTAATCATTATTTGTTGTTATCATGCACTCAGAGTCCAATTAATCTAAATTGTGGTTTATCATCACTAATACTAGCACATTTTGAATGATCACTATGATACTTATTTCAACATATGAATTAAATTTTTATGTATTCAAAAGGTTATATTTAGCTTACATTTGTAGTTGTTATTATCAAACACAGTTTTCATTTTACTTTATTGACTCTTTTGATTTCAATGTTATTGCTTCTCATTTTCTTTCTCTTGATATTATTATCCATGCATTTTTTTCTCTACAATTTTATCAACTTTCTATTAATTCCATCTTCGGTCAAAGCCGTATAATTTGAATTTGAGATGAAGTGAGATGTGTAATCTTTATGATTAAAATGTCAACAATAAATTTGCTTTGCATTGTTATTGGTTGACTTTTTAAAACGTCGTATCCTTGAAACAAATTTCGATCTTTTTCAGAAGTTCTAGAAATTTCAGGCATATAATGTTTTCCCTAAATATATAATGAAAGGTGTCTCAATTATTTAAAAATATTGGAAATTTATAAATTCTACGTAATTTGCTTATTGTCATTACTTGTCAAAATGAATAAATCCGATGAAGATGAGACATAAAATGATTTGGAATTTAAAATTCATACTTTCAAAGTTCATTTTGTTTAATATCCGCATCAAATGTAAAATGTTGTAATTATTCGGTATGGAACAGCCTTCTTCTTTCTTTTATCCTTTTTCACCTGCATTATTTATTTGTTTCATTATAATTTGTTTAGACTTTTCAGTAAAAAAAAAAAAATTAATTCATTAAAGGTCTGAATATCCATTAATTAAATGATGTTGACACTTCTGGTGCCAGCTACTTCCATTATTGTGTAGAGACAAATGAATGGAGATTTCAACGACCTACTTTTAAGTCGATACATTCATAAATTTCTTTAATATTTTGTCGCACAGTTGTATCGCAGCTATAAATAATTAATCATTAAAAAATTTGTTTTTTAAAATATTTATTTCAATTATTCATAGACTAAATTTAATGAATTAATATTATATGAAATTAAACATCTTATAGATCCAAATATTATCATGACAATTACTCGGATTGTTCTCTTAATAAATGCCACTATATGATTATTCACCATTTATTTCCTATTTTATCAAATTTCATTCTTTCTCAGTTTAACACAAAAGTTTCATATAGAACTTTATGATTTAATAGTTAAACGTTTTATTTAAACAAAAATTTTAAATTTATCGGCAAATTTATAAACTAACCTCACAAAAAAAAAAGAATTGAATCACTTGTAAAAAGACAATTACTGAATAGAATCCACAAGAAAATAATAAAATAAATTATTTTTACCCAAATAAAAAGTCACAATGAATCTAAACAATATCCATAAATCTGAACTAAATTTACGACAGTTGTAAATACCACACTTTGACCACAATTTGTAATGAACTCTTGCATAACTCTTACGTACATCACACATATATCATGCTTTATTTTAATATAAATGCAACATAAGAAAAAAAATCAAAAATGTTATAGAAACCGGTTTTAACTTCAACTATACTTATTAATATTAATTTTTTTTAGAATCCGTTTTTCTCTTTTAATTATATTCAAGAAGTTTTGAAGGCTTTTTAATATTTTTGTTGCAAAAAGATGTAGCAATAATAAATAATACCAAATAATTCGCTGTTCTAAATGAAATGACGAAAGTTACAATTTACAGTATATTTTTACACAAATTATTTTTTATAAATTCTATTTGCATAATAATTAAAAATATTTTATTAAAAAAAAGTGGCATAATTTATGAAGGAATTATCAAAGTTGAACTTATTTAGTCGCTTTATTTTAACGTGTAGATGTGATCTCAGTGAACTAAATTTAGAGAACAAGCGTGACTGTAATAAAATGTGAATAAAGCATTTTTCTCATCAGTAAAAACAAGTAAAATTGACATCGTAATTATAGGTAGATTTCAGGAATAAATAAAAATTATTTTGACGACTAAACTTAATTTTACTATGGCAAAGATATTGCAGTAAAGGTAATTTTAGTATATTACTTATCACTGGTTTTTTCATTAAAAAATTCCTCACTTTCCTTTTTTCTCTCTCTAATTTCGTAGAAAAATTGTTCACACAAACACTGCGTAAAAGAAATAAATCTGAATTTAAATTTTAATAACTATGAATTTTTAAAAAACATACAATAACAGAAGGAAAAAAAAACCAATTTGAAATTAAAATTCTCTTAGGAACTTAAATTGGTCAAAATTATATAGCATTATCTTTTACAATTTTCACTTCATTTATGTCACAGAAGGCATAAAATTGGCAATGAAAGAAAAAAACTCGAATTTCAGTAATCGATCAGAACTCTTAGGCAAATTTTCCATTATTAGTAATTTTTAATATAATTAAATTACCACTTCTCAACAATATAAATATTGATATATTACATTTCTGATGTATTTTGCTAGTTATAACTACAATTTGTCGTATTTAATTGCCTCAATTAATTTCATATTTTCAATACTTTCAAATATTAGCGAAGCGTTCTTTTTTTACCAAATAATATGTTAATAACAGCTATTTATAGCTTGCTTATTTTTATTAGAAAACTATTAAATACTAAAAAGTTTTTATTTACTAATAAGCTTTGTCTTTTATCGAAATCATGCAATTATGCTTTAGCACAAGTGAAGAAATAAATAGAATAAATAAGAAATTTTTTCCTTCTGCAACAGTTCAATGAATTAATATCAAAGTTATAGTTTTAAGCTAAAACTTCAAGTAAATAATTATAAGTCAAACTTAATTTAAATTTTAATTTTAGTTTAGAATTTTTTATTAATTTCTTGCCAATTATTATTAATTTCTTTTAGCCTATCATTCATTTCTAATAATTTTCACTATTACAATATGGTAGGCTTTCAATTTTAAATTAAAATTAAAATATCACATTTTTCTACTTTAAAAAAAATTTTTTTAAAATACAATTCACGTTATTTAGATTAATGTCGTCTACATTTTCTATTATATAACTGTTAAATTTTAAAACTCATGTGTTAAACTAAAAAATATTTACACTATAAGGCATATTAACATTCGTACATGCAAAAGCACATGCACACGTACACGTAAACACATACAAACATGCATACATGCCAACATACACACATGCACACATACATAACATGCTGCTTGCTATAGCAAAATGTGTTGTCCCCTCTTTTTAAGGCCTTGAACTGACGAAAATCGATCCTTAAAACATTCAATTCTCACGAGGCGATTATTTCGTTTATTCATGTCTGTATGTCTTTCTGTCCGTTTATTTATTTATTTTTTTCCCACTTCTCTCCTCATCTTTTTCTTTTGCTTATTCAGTTGAATATTTTGCTGGGCCCAGTCGATTTGAAACTAAGGCAATAGAAGGAGCAGCAAGTTGGCATTACAATGATAGGCTTTCCATTCCATTTCTTTGGCTTATTTCTTACTTTTAATCATAAAATGGATGACTAACCAACTATCTTTGCTATCATAAGCAAAATTTAAAGATGGCTTCTTTTTTCTTTTAAAAAGCAAAAGAAAAGTTTCATTAAATTAAAAATCTTTTCTGCGTTTCTTTCTTAAATAAAATTATAGACATATATCTATGATGGCAATATTATCGGAAAAGATTTGAAATGTGGGAAATTCTTACGCATTTTATTTGATTTACTGAATTGTAAAAAAATTAAAAGTGAAAAATAACATATTTGTTCACTTCCCGTTTACATTTTTATCCATTCATAATTTTTCACTAAACTTATGATTATTAATTCCTTATCAATTAATGATTATTGCTTCATCAAATCATAATTAATAATTATGCTTGTCATATAGAACGTGGTCATTTCTTCATCGAATCACGATTATTTCTTCATCAACTCATGATGTCTTCTTCGTGATTTAAATTTCTCTATGCTTAAAAACTGCTATCAGATTATTGCTAATTTAATCTCTCATTTAATCTCAATTTAATCTTTCTAAATTAAACCATTAAATAGTGCGATTTGTCGCACATTTAGTTACGAAATAATAATAAAACCTAAAAAATCAGTGAAAATTTATCAACTGCTGAGCATTTATAATGCCGCTAATATTATTCAAGTTTATTTCGGATTATAATAACGATAATAATAGATTGGCTAATATTGAATGGTTAACTAATTAAAGGTTTGCTTGATAATTAATCATGATTCATGCATTTACTATAATTTGAAATTATATATAAGTTATAAATTTGCAAAATATTTCAGATAATGAAATTTTCAGCAATCATTAAAAATTTGAAACCGTAAAAAATGAGGAAAAAATCTACATTTAATATTGAAATTAAGATTTTCTATCTCAAAAATAATTTTATAAATACTTGAAAGTCAAGAATTATAGAATTATGAATACTTCATCTTTTAATTGTCAGATTTGGTCTGAATTTTCAATATCATAAGCCAAAAGAAAGATGGCATAGTGCTACATGAAGGATACACTTCATAATTTCTGATTTATTAAATGTTGTTATTAGAAAATTAAAATTTATAAATCTTTTACTTATTGGTAATGAAATTTCACCTTTTAAAATTTACCTTTTGTTATGTACTGTTAAAATTAAACTTTACAAATTGATTACATGTTTATAAATTAATTTTATACTTACAATTATTTATGTATTCAAGAATTAATTATCTGTTTATATATATACTTATTTTATACATATATATATATATATATATATATACATATTTATATTTTTGTTATATATATATAAACCAATTATTTATATAATATATAAATAAACATGCATGATTCGAAAGCATAAAATACTCGCAGAGAAATTTCATTCATTCATTAT